TTTTCGCAATTTTGATTCCCGCGAAACTCACGCAGATTTGACGAACCAGTTGCTTGCGAATCGCGTGATGAATTTTGTGCATGCACGATAGAAAATTGAACGGCAGAGGCTACTTTTCGCTCGCCATCTCATACTGCGAAAATGTAGCCTCTGCTCGCAGGGTATCATTTGTCTCGTGCATTTCCACTGAACTTGATCGGCATATTTATCAGGGGCACACAAAGTCAATTTTCGGAAAATATCTGTTCGGAACTAAGACGATTTGAGATGTATAATTTTCAGAACTTTTTTTTGTAAAATGTCTTGCTTGCCTACCTCTCCTAGGATTTTCGAACATCTAAAAATTGGTATAATTGCCCATTTTAAACGGATTTTTACCCTAAAAAGCTCACCTAGAATTTTCGGGAGCCTTTTTTCTGGCTGAAATTTTCGAAAAGGTAAGTTTTGATCCCTATAATTTTCGGATCTCTTGACTTTCAGCTAGGAAATCCGAACAGGCGAAAAATTTTTAGGGGGTAAAAAGATGCCTATATCTACCGTTTTAATACTAAAATACTTTTAACAATGCTATGTTTAAGTGGTTTTGAACTACATTCTCGTTGGGTGCCCCTGATTTAAAGGAATCAAGCACCATGCAGAATTACATTTATACTTTAACCCAAAGAAGGATTTACAAATTTCGAGCAATACTGACACGAACGCGAGGTTGTCAGCAACTGCAAACATTTTGGGAGCAAGAGCAAGCGAGCACTCGTTTAAAGTTTGCGAGCAAATCGAGCAATGGTAAAATTTTGTGAGCAGTTAAAAATTTTAATGGACCATTCACCACCCCTATTTTTGTGCTTCATTTTCTTGGTTTCTCTGGAGTCAAATCCTTGTCAATTTGATTCTACGCTCGCCCTCTTTTCGGGGCAGTATCATGAAAAAAAAAAGAAAAATAAAAGTAAAAATAAAACAAAAAAAAATAAATAAATAAAAAAAAAGCAAACAAACAAAAATAAAGCAGACAAAGAAGAGAGAGTATTCGGACGAAAAAGAGTAGAACTGTGTAATTTCCTCAGGTTTTTTGGTAGTTGTGATTTTTCATCGTATTTCACAGATTAAAAAACAGAGCTGCAAAGCTAGTATTGTCTTGAGATAGGTTGAGGTTGATTGTCCGGGTGAACGTAGTCCTGAATAGGACTGTTGTCGTTGACAGTGACTGACGTTTCGACAACCTGTGCGGTAGTCATCTTCAGAGTCAAAGTGAGTTGTATCACGTCAGTTGATGGTATATGGTATTATACTCTGGTTATTGACATTGTCTTGAAATGTTATTTATACAATGTCTTTTCACATTTAAGACAGTTTGGAAATTTTACCGATCTATTAAATTGTCAGTCGGTGGCAAAATGACAGATGACATTTTGCAAGTTAAAAAAATATGACTGTGTCATTGTGTTTTTGTTTTGTGTTATTTTGTATTTGAGGGCAATTTCCTAATATAAGCCCCCGGCGGCTTTTATTCGAAGTGGCGATTTAAGGTGTTTCGATACAGTTTTTCGGAGACCTTACCGATATTTTTCAATCGCCTTAAAGTTGATTTTATTTTTGTCCAATCGCTATAACATTTTCACCAGTAATTGACTATGAACTGAAGTTTGTCAAAATGCTTTTTAAAATAAAATCGATATCACTATGACAACAATAAACAAAAAACTCTGAAATCTATAAAACCGAATTTTATGCGATCTAAACCAGCTACTGAAAATCCGACACCGGGAACTGAAAGTGCGGTGGTTAGCAAATAACCTCCGTGAGAAATAATTCATACTTACAGAATTTTCTTACGGAGGTTATTTGCTAGACACTACTCTTTAAGTTCCTGGTGTCGGATTTTCAGTAGCAGGTCTAGATCGCTCAAAATTAGACTTATAGATTTTAGAGTTTTTTGTTTATTGTTGTCATAGTGGTGTCTATTTCACTTAAAACTGTATTTTGACAAACTTCAATTTATAGTAAATCACTGGTGAAAATTTTGTAGCATTCGGACAAGGATAAAACCACCTTTAAGGCGATTGAAAAATATCGTTATTGTCTCCGAAAAACTTTTACGAAACACTTTATTAGTAAATATTAATCCTGTATAAATTAATATTAACTGTTGGGGTTTGGAGACCTCCTTGGCCTTTCACTTATAAAAAATTTAAAAAAAAATTGAGAGCTGGAAGGTCTTGTTATGTCTTGAGATGTCTAGAAGCATCAGAAGCTCGACACGACAAGTGGGGGATGACTGGAGAAAAGCGGCAAACATGTTGGCCCAAACTTCACACTGAAACCGAATACGAAAACCAGACCACTTCAATTCTGTAAAACAGAAATAAAAACAAATATTGGTGGCGAGAAAAAGAGAAATAAGCGACGGATATATGGCCTACTTGTCAACGGAAGAGACCTCCGCCATTACACAAAACAGTTCAAGTCGAGAGCGGGTGAAAGATTCATTCACGAGGCTCATTCATTCATGTCAGTGTCATTTTATACATATCTATGTATATATGTATGTCTGTATTTACAACTGCCTTTGGATCATATTAATTCCGTCGCTTTGGAGCAAATTGTTCGAGGTACGTTGGCAGAGCTTAGCAAAAATCTCATGATTTCTTTGTCATTGCGAAATAATTAAAAATACTTTTATCAAAAATTATGGCTTGCTATTTGCCTGGTCTCCTTTAGGACATTATCTCAGAGAGCTCTTGGGAAAAAGTGGTATAAAGCTTTCATTTTACTAGGTTAAACTTTTAAGGGAATGTTTGTGTCATGACTGAACACGGCAAGCTTCTGTTTCGAATAATTAAATTCGAGTCTGGATCCGTTTAAGAAAACCATCATTTTATTTATTTATGTTTTCTTCAACTTTAAAATATTATGGAACATAAAGTTAAAACTCTTAATAGCCAAAGATAAGAAATACGAATTACTCGCCGAAATGATATGTGTTCAGCTTACCGAGTCTGCCGAGTAACAAGTTGAAATTTTGAACGTACTCCACCCGATCGCTCCTTCATCGAAAAAGACCAGAGAATAACGTCCTGGCAAACAAAAACCAAACATAACTTCATCGAAACCTCAGTCATCTGTTCTTTCCTCTCTTCCTTTTTTCCATCTCGACTTGAACTGTTTTGTTCAACGGCAGACGTCTCTTGCGTTAACAAGTAGGCCATATATCTGTCGCTTATTTCTTTTTTTCTTGCCACCAAGATTTGTTTATATTTCTGTTTCACCGAATTGCAGTGAGCTGGCTTTCGTACTCGGTTTCAATGTGAAGTTTGGGCCAACATGTTTGCCGCTTTTCTCCAGCCATCGTCCACTTGTCGAGCTTCTGATGCTTAGGAAACCTACAAAATCATCCTGTTTCCTTGAAGATATACGCGGCCCTTTTGATTGCAAACAGCAAATCATTACTAAACATTAAAAGCAGAAGAGATCCCACGTAATTGTATTTAAAAAGAAGTCCGTACAAAGTTATTTTAGGTGGAATCCGTGCTAAACACTCTGCAAGTTCACTGAAAGTGTTCGTTTGCAATTTTTGTTTATCCTCCAATGCCTCGCTTTCATGACTAGGCACCAGTTTTTTCCCGTGTGTCCACCATTTGTGAATACGCTGTATATCAAAAACACTTTTTCGGCTATTCAGAGTACTTTTAGGTCTCTAGAAATGCATTTTAGGCGGCGCTATAAAACTGGTACCACTTCGGTCATTCTAGGGGAACTTGAGTCTTTTCGAAATTACAAGGGCCTCAGCCGCTGAGTATTATTTTCCCAAAAATTTTAGATGCAATTTAACGTATTACGAAAGTGAGAATTTTTATGATTCCTCTTTCCATGACAGTTTTGAATCCGAAAATTTCAGGTTTCCTTGTTGTAGCAAAAATAGCCTAACCTGGGCAGTGAATTGCAAAAAATTAAACTTCAGAAAATCAGGGAAATAATTAGATAAGCTTCGAAAATTGTGCATGAATGGAACGGTCATCTAGAACTTTATAGCCGTCCTCAAGTAAAAGAAAATTCTAGGTATTCTTTCGGCTTCTCCCAACAGATATTTTACAGAAAACAGTCGAAGGGTGCCCCTGACAAATCGTAGTGTAACAAGGCCTAGGAAATGTATTGAGGAACGCATCTTTTCCAGTTTGAGTTGCCAAGTCATGATACGGATTTCGCGTTTAGGGTTTAAGGATGAGCACATGAGGCAGTTTAGTATAAATGATGTTCCGTGGCAATAAAATTCAGTCAAGATCTCGTCTTGTTAATAAAAAAGGAATAAAAAATTTTAGTCTCTCGTCTCTAACAACACCTGAGACTGAATAACATGATATTGTTTGTTCTTCCCCTTAGTGAAAGTCCATAAAGCAGAGGAGGCTGTTTTCTTCTGGCTAAACAACCGGGTGGTTAAACAACCGGGAGACATGGCGTCGTCGTCGTCAAAAGAATGGACGTCACGGCAAAAGTTATTGTTCCTTTGCTTGACTGTCGCCTTGATGTACCTCTTTCTGTATTCAAAACTGTCTCCTGTAGCTTTCAATTTCCGACGGCTGGCTGGTAATGACTCCGAGTCTCGGTTTCCGCAGATCAGACCGTATACCACCACAGGACCACCGAATAAAACGGCGATCACAGACACCTCAATAACGCTATTCGTGAGAATGTCAGGTAGTCGGCAGGATCACTTGTTTCGTTTTTATTGTCACCTTTACAGGACTTTTGTTCTGTATTGGCCTCCTTCACTTGGAAAATTTGTTATAGTTCTTGATAAAGAAAGAGAAGACGATCACAAATTTTCTGCAAAACTGTCAAGTGAAACGAAGTCTTACTTTCCAGATTATAAGATCGAAGTACTGTATGAACCCCTCCCCCAAAGAGACGACATATTGAACATAAAGGGTCATCCTAGGGGCTACAACAGGCAGCTTTGGAGCAGTTTCTTTATTGATCAGTATACAAATGACTCCATAATTGCTTGGATGGACAGTGATACCGCCTTTCTCACTCCAGTAACTAAATCTACGATTTTTGCCGGCACGAAGCTACGGGCTATAGCCACTCAGCCTGAAATCACAAGCTTTAGGTTTTGGGTGAAGCTTTGGATGACAACTAATGAAATTGCTCTAGGATTGCCGTTTGTTGCTGATTTCATGACTTATTTCCCTGTATATATATACCGGGACACCTTTACACACTGCAGAGAATACTTACTGAAAAGATTTAACTCAACTGATCTTGAAGAAGTGTTTCCCAAGTTCTTCGAGACGAACGGGGCAGAAGTCCTGCGATTATCCCCTGTCAACGTTGTTCTCAATTATGCTTGGTATTTTGAAAGAGATCGCTACGACTGGAGTTTCGAGATCACCAGGAATCTAACAAAATACAATGAAAAGTTCCTAAAAGGCTATGCCATTGGACCTGAATATTTAAGAACGATACTGGCGGAACCTCAAACAGCCTTCCATTCAATGAAAACAAAGGGAATGTGGATATGGTCAAAGATTCTTATCAGTTACTGCTTGTCACACCGAGCGGCGGGAAATACTACGGTAGATATATGCACCAATCATATGCCTAACGCGGCTTTCAAGGATAATTTTCCTCTTTTTAACTATGATCTTCAGTTTATTACAAATCCTCTTAGATCCCCTTGCAATGCCGGCAACAATAGCTTTACCTGCCTGCGAATCCTAGAGCGTCATTAT